GATTACTTTGACCCGACGATGGCGCCGCTTCGATGAATATTGAACGAAAGGCCGATTACATATTCCGTAGACGTTATCGTAATTTTACAGTGATGAGGGAAAGTAAGAACTTGGCTGAAGCCCTCGGATTTTCATATCCGCGTCTGATACGTCGTGCTTTAATTGAAAAATAAGAAACAAAATACAAAATATGTATGTATAAATTGCTGTTTTCTCCTGATAAGGAAAAATATGAAAAGCTTGTAAAATATGAGAATTTCTGTAATCTTCTGTTTTAAATCAACATAAACATTGCAAAACGCGAAATAAATTCAGTAGATAACGCATTTCTCTCCAACTTTCCCCATTTTTTATATTACTTGTGTATAAAATATTTTTTACATACTCGTCAACTCTATACACATTTTTGCATTAGGTATTATCTCCCTCTTTCTTTTTCACTTTTACTCTCTTTTTATGATAGCGCATCTTTCGTGATGTTAAAAATGTATCAGTCTTATTTTTGCTTACAAAACGCTATTTTTCTTCGTACGAGCTCTATTTGCGCATAAACCCTGTTTCTTGCGGAAGATTGGTGTACGTTCGTATCAGTTCACGAGCGAGATGGGAGCGTGATTAGGTAACGTTACTGCACCAATATGGAATCGAAATCGCACCAAGACCGGTAGCGCCGTGATACGTATAATGAAATATGGTTATTGATACAAATTGCCGCGGATACATTTTAGTACATATTTGTCACACCGAGAAAATTATTGCGACACCGATATTATTGGTCCCCTAAATCACTGTTTAAGGGGAAGGGAGGAATACGTTGGTAGAATAGATAAGTTTATCCAACGCAATTGCGATATGGGAACACCGATCGTAAAATCCGAGGTGTGAGAGAATAGTAAAATCCTTCGGCTTAAATCGAACGAAGAAATATGCCGTGGCGCCAAAGTAGCTTTCGGAAAAGTTTTTAAAGTCCGGCTTCTAGAGAAAGTTTCGAGGGCTATTCTTTTACGAGAATTTCGCACGTTCTAAAGGTAAGCGTGTATAAACTTTCGATTGCCATATAAATATATAAAAATATAATATTTCTATTTTATAGAAATATGAGCAGTAAAATCAATCACATCTGACAAATATTTGAAATAACACAAGCTCTTACATTTTTTTAATTATTTCTGTATTATATTTCTCTTCTAAATACATCTTTTATACACACGTATACACGATTTGGAAAATACTATGCAAATATTTTTATTTCTCTCTTATCTTTATTTTGTTTATCCTATTTACCTTATTACGGCAGAAATTAAAGTTTTTATCAATGCGAATGAAACATGAAAGATTTATTAAAACGCATGATGAGAAAAAATATGTTATGCATTCCATTAGCTTTATCATCATTTTTGAGAGATATTTTCTACATCTCAATCACTTTTTGAAATTGTAGACAAATTTTTTTCTCTAGTTTTTTTACACAATACCATTACTTTTTTAATTAAAAAATGTTTAACTTTGATATAATAATAAACTAATCTGCTTTATAAAATCTTATTAATGCTATTTCACTAATATATATGTATACATATTACCAATATGCATACACCCCAAATCAATAGTTAATTTTGCTCTTGCAGCTTACAAACAACCAGAGATTCGTCAGCGACTTCAATGATTAAAACAAATAAAGGAATGAAAATACAAAATCAAAGTATTTAACTACAAACAATTTAAACCACAAACCATATTTTGTTTGTAGTTTAAAGCATGTTAGATTAATTTTATTTGACGCGTTATTTTTCCCATTAAAAATCGTTGATGGTTCTAGTTCCAATCAAGCTGAACTTTTATTTGTCGAGCAATAAAGGAAGCAAATAGAAATTACTTCGTCAAAGTCCAACGATGACAAATGTCAGTTCTCGAGAAAGGGTTGGAAAACTCATTAAACGGGCCTGTCGGTTGATGACTCTCTATAGTATCATTATTATCGGGAGCATTCGAGTTAACTGCATTCGAGCATTCTAGGTGCCGACCTAGTCCGCAAGCTTAACTATTTCCTCTCCCTCCTTTTGTTTCCGCGGCATTTCCGTTCCTGGGGCACCCAACCTTCGCCCGCGCTTCCATCAATCATTTCAGTTTTGCGCAAGATTCGCCCATTATTCGAATCCCTGTCCTCCGTTTTCTTCCACTGCTTGCACCTTCCGTTCAGTCAAATCTTTTCCGCTATTTCGCAAAATCGAACCGTCAACTTGTATCATTTAAAACTACACGAGAAAGTTTCTCACAATTTATGCTTTGAAATATTTTTCTTATGTGAAGCTGTATGCATAACGAAAGTATGCATCACGGGATATTTTTACGAAATAAAAATGCAATTAAAATTTATATGTAAATTAAAAAGGAACGAACACGTACAAAATACTGTATGATAAAGCGATATTAATATATCATCAAGCGATATCCATATATATATATATATATATATATATATATATATAGACGCGGCTAGAATAATTATGAATATATTGTCCAATAATAATAAATTATGTATGAGTAAATATCTTTTCCGTCATTGAAAAAACCAATTTTTGACAAAAATAATACGTGCCTTATCGCGAAGCTGGCGGCGATATATTAAAATTACTGCAATTTAATGCAGCGCAGATTATTTTTAGCGCTATTATTATGAAAAATGGAATGATGTGTTCTTTTTTCTACGACCGCGATTGCCCGCAGCAGCGATACACATATACGCAAACCGCGAAGAGTTGGAAATTTCATCGCAGTTTGCCCGACCGCGAAAACTGCAAAAAATATCGCATCGATATTCTCGCATATGAAGAGAGAATCCTAGAAAGTATGCTTAGTATATAATCGATACTACTAATATTCTCGTATAATTATGACTATATGGATTAACGATTTATATTTATGTTGATGTATAACAAATTTCTATTTTAAATATCTTAAGCATAAAGTTTGCAACAAAAAATATTTTGCTCATTAATTACAGATTAATAAACTTTTAAATCTAATTTAACTCTACGATAATGTTTTATAAATTTTCCAACATGCGAAAACATATTTAACTTTCGAAATTTAATTTAAATATCTTTATTTTATCATTACTTATTTTCCATGTTATAACCATCAAATCGCTATTTATATAAATTTAATAATTTTATCGATCCAAAATACATTTGTTATTTTAAAGAATAATAGATTTTTTTGTTTAGAATTTGCCTCTATAGAATTCTACAAAAAAATTGTTATTCCATTTTAAAAAATAAAGTTGAACATCTCTTTCACATCTCTATCCACGACAAAACTATTGTCATCACACAATTTAAAATCGTAAAATGTCTAGCTTCTAAATGTCCTATATTTTCAAGGTTCTTTTTATGATTTAAAATTTTAAAATAACAGATTCGGTAGATGACGTATATACTGCGTAAAAACAAGCATTGGATGAATCAATATAGGATTCTCAAATTTGTTTCTTAAAATAATGATTTCATTATAGAATTTAAATAAATAATAAAAAAGAATATAAAAAAGCTATATTAGCTAGTTGTATAACTTTTAATATAATAATTACTTCTCTTTACTTAAATATTATTTCATTTACCGTAATAAATTAATAGAAATTTCTGTTTTCACCATATTTACGCAGTAATTATATACATTCGGTATATACATATAATTGGATCAAACAAAGGCTAGTCTCTTTCTAAAATAAATTTACGACGTAAATAGGTAATATAGGATTTTTGTCCGTTTAATTTAGCCCTCACGTTTATTTCAATGAGCCTTCACTCCAGGAGTTCTAGGTAATGAGAAAGCAGTAAAGACAGATTAAGAGATCCCCAAACTCTTCCCATTCTCAGAGCCAACATTCTTTTGTGACAAATCCATTAGGGACTTCGAAGAAATTGAGTTTGTGCCCGCGATTCATTATAACCTCATTTATAAATGAGAACTAACTGCTCGCCCAGAAAACTACGACAGCTCTTTTAATTATCGCGTTTTAACAATGCAGGTCCAATAAATCATTCGAAAACGAGATAAATCTCAATTATAAGAGAATCGTCAACTCTTTATTATAATCTTTATAAACGTATTTAAGTATTTCAAATAATGCGAATACAGAAAATATTTATAAAATATTTTGTTCGTGCAAATAATGAGCAAAATATATGTATATATATATATGTATATATATATATATATATATATAAATCATCTTATAAAACATTGTATCAAATAAAATTAAATAAAAATGTATAAAGATGGAATATTTGAAATGTTTTGATCTTTAAAAAATCTTGTAACGATGAATTTTGGAAAAAATATTAAATCTATTACAAACTATTAAAAAAACAATATTTCAAGATTTCTTTTATCCCTAAAAGTACTACTACCCCCTTAACTCTTAAAATATTAAAATGTGTTTGATAATGCACGTGTGTTGCAATTTATTAATATTTAAGTATCTATACAATTTTCGCAAAAATCGTAATTATTCTGGAAAGTATAATATTCCCTTAAAGAGATAATATAATATAATATGATCCTGAAACTTTATTAGTGTACGTACTCGAAGATACTTACGTACATAATTTTATGTTAATATCATGTACATGTATGCTCATTACAACTTCGGTACAGTTAGTTTAGTTCAGTTTGTGATTTAATATTACAATTTTCTTCTTAACTTTCAGTTTAAAATTAGAAGAATCGCGAGGTATTGTATATCAATTAATATAACATTTTTATAGCGAATCCTTTTTTTAAAATTGTTAGATTCTGATATACAATATAAATCTGTGCGTATTTAAAAAAGAGTAAACTTAAATTTTAATTATGCTTTATTTATAAATAATTAGTATTTTATTTAGTTTAAGACAATTTCCCTCTCTCTCTCTCTCTCTCTATATATATATATATATATATATATATATATGGCTTCTTACAAAGCTAATCACTATTAAACTAAATGTGAAACTTACGCCCAAGCAAGTCTGTCTCCTCTTCTCTTTGAAGTACACACGATCTAGAAAATCGCCTTTCACGTAGAACACCGCATCGAAAGACAATGGCACAAAATCAAGTGAATTCGGTGAATGAGAACGCAACCAAAAGGAGACAAACTCTTTTGAGAAGCACTTGCTACGAAATATCCAAGCACTTTCGGCACAGCTTTTGCTCGACACTCTTAGATCTCACGAGAGCAATCGATCCTCGAGACGGCGGTTACGATCTCGAATCGCAACAACCCTCGAGAAACACTCGAGAATGTTTAACAGTTTTTCACGTGGAAACCCATGATATGACGTTTCGCCAGGACGATAGCCATTTATTAAAGGAATCTCGCTGCGCTTCCGAGCGAATAGAGACGGCTACTTTTGTCCTCATGCATATTTTATTTTCTTCCGCGATGTCGCGTACGATCTTCTATTACGACGCGCAGCTGTCGCGTTGATCCAATTTCGATCTCAACTCGCGGAGAACTTTGTGCCCGAGAAATGGGAAATTAATAGAACGCACCGTCAACACTTTTCAGCCGCAGTTTTACGCGAGCGCCGAAAGGCGTGTAATCTCCGATGACGAAGAGAAAGAGAGCTTCGCGTACGTCGACAATGTCAATATTGTCACAGTCAGTCGCGAATATCGTATATTAGGATTTTATCTCGACGACTATCAGCCGCAAAAAAAAGTGAAGTTTATTATCAATCATATTTTTTCATTCGATAGCATAATTTTATTTCAATATACAATAACGCGCAATTTTGTTTTTTGGACGACTGATTTTTTTTTGTTCGAATCGTACTTCAACACTAATTACATGCAATTTCTATTTCAATTTTGCTAAATTTGTGATATTTTTTGCCTAATTGCTCCGTGACGTTTCTCATATACGTTTCGCACTTGTATAATGCTGATTAAGGTAAAGCACGCCTCGTAATTTTATCTTGACGTATCTTCTCAATCTCTCAAGAAGCGGATAATTACGTTGATAAAACACGCGATAAAAGTTCGAAGGAATTTCAAATAACAGGCAATCACGAATGCACTTTATGGGAAAATTTCATGTCTCTGAACGGCATTCCAGCAAGATAAGAGCACTATTATTGTTAATATTTTTGCGTTTTACACAACACTTTAACCACTCGAAAATTGCGGTTGTGCACAGTGGAGGACCGATCAAATGGTCAGTCGGAGTTTTATCCGTACGAGTACTTTCCGCCGGCACTTCGCGTAATCGTTTTCGAGAGCACGCCTCGTCTAGTCACGTAAAGGAGCAGAGCACGACGAGTTACTATTTCTGCAAACGTGTTTTTACAGTTCATGTGTGTCTTTTTACAAAGATCATCATACATTTGCGACAAATAACGGTGTTGTTCTCGAAATTTCTTTTTCAAACACTCCAAAGCTTTCGAGAAAATACTCGCATTATAATCACAAGTGATTTAAATGATGTTTTTAACACGTCACGAGGCGCTTCCCACGAATTTTTTGCCCAGTCATTCACGAGACACGCGTTCACGATGTATCATTCGAGTATCATTCGAGGAAAATTATTTTCTTTTTCCTCTTCTCGCGAATTTTTTTTATTAGCATCTCGGCGACGTCAAACGATCTTATTCCCTTCGCTTCACTGCACTTTCCTATAACTTTGCGTGGCACAAATAATGCCTGCTCTGACAATGACAGATCCTCAAGAATTCGTACGCGGAATAATGTGATTGAAGAGTTTCATTTTTTTTTGTTTTTGAAATAGATTGGATTGTTATTCTGAGACCTTTATAACAAGAGTTAACTCGATAATCATTTTAAATTGACACTAATATGATTCGAATTTCATTTGATTATGTACGTGATTTATCTAAGGTTAACGTGATTTATCTTTTGCATCACTTTTGCGCGGATCTTAATATTTTTTATAAAATTTATTAGACGCTTCTTTTTCTTTTTAATTATAAAAATCTTATTAGAGGAACTGAGATTTATATATTTGTAACGCGTTTTCATAAAACTTTATTTAATTTTGTCGACAATTTTATCGACAAGCGACTACAAAAAAAATGTAAATTTATATAGAGTCAGGGCAGTGAGCTACTTTTTTAAAATAAATTTTCTGATAAATCTTCGCATTCAAGTGCCGCTGAGAATCAAAAGATTTGTGCTTGTATTAAGCTCAGGGCTATTAAAGAGAGCCCGGAGCCGAAGCTTTAATGTAAATTTTTGCTGACACATTTACGCACTGCCGTAGAAATATTATCATTGAACATTACATTAAACATAGCTTGTTACAGTCTCCCTTGATACAAGATTCAATTTTAAATTCAAGATCCTCAGCGAGCCATCCAAAACGTTTTCATTCCCAAAATCGCATAAGTTTTATCACGTTGAAAACGCGAAATACCACTTGATTGCTTCAGATATGTCAAATGTATTATCACTTGAGTTTTGATCAAATTTTTTAAATACCAATGACACTACAATGTTTCGCTCGTCATACTCCGTGTGATTATTATTTTTTTTTTTTTTTATATACAAACAAGAGACTCAACGCGCGGGAATACTTTAATCCGGATTTTACTGAACGCGTTTTATGACACATTCACTGCAAGTATCATCTCACTGCCGCAGAATCCCAGGATTTATTTTAAATCATTCGAGCATCTCGAGCACGTTTTAGACTATCGTTCTCCACGCGAAACAAATTTTACGTAAAATTTTCCACAATTTTTCCGCAAATAGCGCAATTTTTCTTTCTTTTCACTGAAAGAAATGCAATATGCATTTGCAGTTTTCGACAATTCAAGCGTTCTCTCTCCCTGGTACGTGGACCGGATCATCTGTGATTTCGCAGAAAATCTCCGCATTCCCGCGAGTACATTCTGATAGCATTCAGATTCATGAAACTGCGCCCGGAAACGAAACAAATTGCACGGCAAATAGCGCTAAATGACGTTTCCCTATTTCGAGTTAATAAAACTGAATCCAAAGCAAGTTTGAAGAATTTATTTTTTAATTATATACACACGCACACTATTTGTTGAGAGCGCAGCATCTGTCAGCGATAGACGTTTTCGCGACTGATCGTTCACTCGTCCATTGGTCGCCCATGATTTATTTTGACGTGTGTAACTTTGTTTCCTTCTCATTAAGAGCACTTTCGCAATTTCCTTCGAGAACTTTGATAGATTTTCTTCGATGTTCTTCGATCACAGTTCGAGATTGTTATACGCGCCGGTCGAACAATCTATCGCGACAACAGAGATGAAATGAATGAATTTCGACGAAAATAAAACATAATTTCGATTTTTTCCCTCGAAAAGTGATCGCACTTTAGCGACGGATGCGCGCGCGAAACCACCACGAGTGATGCTGAGGTCGAACTGGAGCCTCCGACGCGGCGCTAGCGTCGCTACGAGCGAGGGGTAAACCAAAATCACCCTCTCCCGTGCCGCGAAGTCCACCCCCGAGAAAGAGGGTGGTAGCAGTGGCGGAGGAAAAGCTAAGTCGCCCGGAGTTTGAGGTGCGAATCACGTGGGAAAACGGGAGATTTCTTTTTAAAAAGAACAAAAATGTAATACGATTGCCATTGTCCGCTAATCCTACTTATCTTCTGCAAATTAGTACCAAACAAGTTTTACGAACATTTCGTGACGATAATCTTTTCCTGTCCGATTGTCATTAAATCTTTTAGGCCACTAAAAAAGATAATTAATGCATTTCAGGAGAGACGTATCAAATAAATTTAAACTAGATACTCTCCTTTTTCGCTAAATTGCTCTTTAAAAAAGAAAATATGTTTATTAGATTGTATAAAATAAACAAGCCTAAAATTGATAGATGTTATATATTTAAATATTATTGCGTGCCAAGGAAATTTATATAGTCAAAATAAAAATATATAGAGTTCTGAGTTTCGAAAATGTTATAGATTTTATAATTCTCGAAAATATAGTCCAAAGCGAAAATATATCCAATAATAATTGTGACGTAGAAAATGTTGAAAAGAAAACATATCTGCAAAATCATTGGCATATCCCAGTTATCTCGTCAGGAATACCTTTTGTCATACTTGTTATTGAGCGTTTATGAAGCGAGCAGTTTCGATTGTGACATTTGTATCGACGTAATGGCTCACTCTTGACGTGATATGTCAATTATGCTTATATATGATATAATGCGCGCAACACAGTGCTCACCGTAGATGGTAACGTACACTCCTGATCCACCTCCGTTTGTTACATCGCGATGTAACGTGTCAGAAGTGTCTATTGATCTCAGTGATGTCGAATGCATAGAATGGTCTAATGCGTTAGCCGTATCGAATGGTCGATGTGCGCCGGCAATAGATCATTCGACGGGCAGCTGAGATTTCGGAAATTACCTATTCGATATCGCGGCGCCACGATTTGCAAAAACGGCAACCGACGTTGACTGATGCGCGAATGACTGGAAAACTCGATTTTGCGGAAAAAAAGAAATGAAAAAAAAAGAAACGGCGCGCACGCCACCGGAACTTCCGTTTATTTCGCGGTAGACGAATTTTCGAATTGCATGAAACAAACGCAGGATTCAATCGGCCTCATACCATGGCAGGGAACAGATATACATATATATGCTTGCATACCACAAGATAAAAAGAGTACGATCGTTTTGCATCACGTCTTTCCTGTATGTGCAATGTTTAAAACGGAAGAGAGCGGCATCCTTCCGTTTCTTTCGCGAATACGCAGCATACGCTTGTCATATAAAACCCCATTTTTTCATCTCCAGTAAATTATAATAGCCACTTTTCTCACGCGTTACGCCACCGCCACTAAAATTTACATTCGAGATATTCAAATGGCGTATTTAGTATGTGAAGTATGCTTACTTTGCAAAAATATATCATGTAAAATAAAAGCTAATATATCATATGCATTTATGCAAGTGTAATTACGAGCACAATTGAATTGAAATTCTTGAAATAGCATGTATTTATTTCCAACGAGATCAGTTTTGCAAAATAAAATTTCAGAAGAATGTAATAAACTTTGCAATAAAATTTTATAGATACAAATATATATTTAATATTTTTAAATATTTCAATTATATCGAGATAATAATATACCTATATTAAATTATGAAAAATGATGACATTTTTTCTTATCGAAATGTTGCGAATACTTTAATTTTGACTACAATTTTAAATATTTATACGTTTTTTTAAGCATCTTATAACATGTTAATTTAACTTGTACATAAAATATAAATAAAAAGAAAATCATCTATGACAAATATAAGCATAAACAGATAATATTATATACAAACAGTTGCGCGGAAATATTATTTGAATGCATAACAACAGCGCAGTGTTGAAGGAAAATAAATACTTGTTTCCATTCTCACTTCAAATGCAGCGTTAAAGCTGTATGTCATAAAATCAAACTATATGCGATTACAATAAATATACTACGCGAAATCGCAAAATCTACAGATTATCGTCCAATTTTTGCAAGTGACAAAAACAAAATGCGTATCAAAAGTCCTTCTAGTTTACCGTTTTATAATGTAAAGCGTTCGGGATTTATCGTGGAGTCTTGAAGCTTCTTAAGACTCCAGGTTCTGACCGCAGAAGCATAAGTAAGGTAAAACTAAACCAACTTTAGCACCGTCGAGTTCACGTTAAAATTAAAGTTTAAAGACTTATAACTTTCTAACGTGCTGCTCCCTGATCTCGGGAACGAGGATAGTTAACTCAATAGGTCTCATCTTCCGTACAGACATGTACACACACATATACACACCTATGCATGCTAACACGCAAACGCCTCAGCGTTACCATTTTCAATAACTATGATACTTTCGAGCTCGGTTTTGACACGATGCTTGCATAATACTCTTAAAACTTTCGTGTCTTCTTTAATTTCTCGCTACGCGACCTTAACTCATGATCGAACAGCAAACCAGAGAAGAATCTTGTAATTATATATATATATATATATATATATATATATATATATACATATATATATAAAAGCCACTTTTCTTGCGATTTTAAATCAATTCAAATCAAAACTGTAATAGCCAATAAAATAAATGCTATAAATTAAATGCTTGCAAGTTTTTATCCGCGAGTAAAATGCTTTCATAGAATAGAATTATAATGGAAACAGAATTCTCTTCCATATATATTTTGTTATTTTTTCGGTATAATAGTATACTTTTTATCTATTTTTCTGTGTAACAAATTTTAGTTGCAAAAATAACTTACAAAATTAAATATTTGTCTCTCTTATTGCTTATAATCACAAGACATAAAATCAAAACAATTTGTTGCAGTAGTTTATATATCTGATAAATTCGAAAGTATTATTGTAACCTTACAGGAGAATTTTATACATATATACGTATATAGAGAGAAAGACAATAACAAGTTACAGGATTTCATTTATAGTAACGAATATTATTTTTATACGAAAATGTAGTTCACATAGCAAAATAAAAGCTATATTTATGGAAAATGATTCATATACTACATCGAGTGCATCAAATAACCAGACTGCAGGCTTTTATTTCGAAAAACTTATTTCGCCACTCCATACTATTGTATGCCTGTTCAATTATTTTTACTTTCAACTTGTATTTTTTATTTATGTATATATTTTTGAAGTTTTTTTATTGTGTATGCGCATGTATATTGTATCAATATATATAAAAGTCAATATAACAAAATCGATATATTAAAAATATAAATTTTACTAATATGTAAAATTTGTTTTTATCTTTTTTTATAAAAATAAATAGCAAGTATTTTCAATTATTTTAAAAATGTTTCTTCAACATAATAAAAATTTTAGTTTAAAAATGCATTAATTTAGATAATTAATTCATTAAAAAATGCATATAAACAACGTAATGTAATACTTTAATGTATATACTTTATTATAAATATATTTTAATGTTAT